GGAGCACGGAATGCACCCGCTGTACAAATGGAGAAGGCACGGCCACGGTCACAGTCACGGCCACAGCCACGGCCACGGCCATGGTGTGTGAGGTTTTGAGGGAGGAGCATAGAGGATGAGCAAGAGAAGAAGAGAACCTAAATCTGCATCACAGAAGACAGTGAGATGGCGATTAGGAAGGGGTAGGAAAGAACTGTAATTAGGTTTAGCATGAACCTTGAGGATAAAAGGAGATTGACAGCATTTTGAAAAGACAGGGTTCGAGGGCAGGAGGGTAATGGAGCTGCATGAGAGGAGAGGTGGCCGGGGCAGGCAAGAAGGAGAGGTGGCTGGGGCCTGGCTCAGGGGCTCAGCCGTCTCCACTCCACTGGGCTGCGGTGACACCTCCTGTGGCTGTGGCTGTGGCCGGGGCCGAGGGCAAGGACTCAAACCCTTTCTGTTTTTCTGGGTGGGGAGAGGGTGGCAGCAGCTGGCCCAGCCCCCCCACTCCCTGCCCTGGGTCCCAGCTTCTCCGAGACATTCTGTGCCAGGTGCTGGGCACAGAGATGGACAAGATGGCAACGTCTCTGCCGTGAAGACTAGAATATGCTGGGGAGACAGACGCCCAATCAACGGCACAAACATTCATTTAATTAAAAATGACAAGAGCTATTTATTCCATGCACGTTCATTGATGCCAGGCTCATCGGTGCTGGGACACGCTGCTGGGGGGACTGCAGGTGGGTGTCAGGAGGCTGTATAATAAGGGGAACTGAACTAGTCAGAGCAGGGAGGGCACCAGCACTGCCACCTGTCCCGGCGGGCGCAGCACCTACCCAGCTCCCTCAGGGCCCAGGGCCAGCCCGAGGCTCTGCAGACACCCCCCTCTGGACCTCGTGTCAGTTTGCAAAGCAGGCCTCCCCATTCCTCAGAGGAGAGAAGAGGCCGGGCACAGCTAGATGCCTCTACCTTTCTAAAGGCAAGTCAGGAGTCGGCAGGCCTCCCGGCCAGGGGAGGTCCCGCCTAGCATCTAGCGGCTGCCAACGGCCTGCCAGGCTCCCCCAGGGCCTCCTCCGAACCTCCTTTCCCACCTCTATCTGCTCACCCACTGAACCCCGGCCATTTACGTTCTCACTGATTCCTGCCCCACTCCCTAGCGCTGTCCCATCAGGCCCCGTTCCCACTATGGGCATGGCTGCCACTGAGCATCGTGTTCCCCGAGGTGCCCCTCCTCAGAGCCAAAGGAGGCCACTCAGGTTGCAGCCCCCGGGGAAGAACCTCCAGGGGTGCCCGGCACCCATTAGTACGTCCCCCGGAGGGGGGCCCCATCCCCGGCCCCCCCTGGCCTCACATGGTATGCATGAGCAACAACTGCTCCCGGTTCCCCGTCCCCGGGCTGCATGCTGTCACCAGGCCTTTGCTCACGCTGTGCTCTGCACCTGGGGAGCGTGCCCCCCTCGCTAACCCCCTTCCCGCGGCGCACTCCTATGCTTTTGGACACGATCTTCACCAGGAGGCTTTTCTTGATCCTCTCCAAGGTGGTAAAGTGCCCACCCTCAGCTTTCATAAGGCCTGGGCAGAGCGCCAGGGAGTTGGCAGCAGGGGGGGGGGGCAGGGGAGTCCCTGGTGTCAGATAAGCCTGAGCGTCCCCTTCATCTGTCAAACTGTGTCAGTTCCAGAGCCGGCATTTCCCAGGGGGACCGCGGTCAAACCAATGTGCCATCAGAGGCTGAAACGTTATGCTGAGGCAAGTGGGACCCTCGTCCTCCCCTCCGAATGCGAGTCTTGGAGGACCAGGCCCTGCCCCATCCGGCCCTGCCCACCTCCCCGTCTTCCCTTTACCCCATTCACCGTCTCACTCCCGCTCTGCCTTCCCCTCAACACCGGCCTCCTGTTAGGTCCTCTTCATGGTCCTTTCACCCCAGGGCCTTTGCACATGCCGTTCCTGCTTCCAGAAGCCCCTCCCCCATATTCCCATCTAACATTTAACTCTCCTCCAGGATCAACACAAGTATCACACCCTCAGGGAAGCCTCTCCAATTCCCAGATGAAGTCAGCACCCCTCCCACCCCCGCTGTCACAGCACATGGGTGAGTGTGTGTACAGAGCTCACTCCCCCCATGAGTGCCTGAAGACAAGAGACCATGGTGGTCTCGTTGGCTGCTGTGCAACCAGTGCCAGGCACACTGTTCAGAAAATGTCCGATGGTGGCTGGAGGACAGAAGGACAGACCGAGCGAGAACGAGGAAAGGCAATTTCCCCAGGCTTCCCAGAGGGACCCTCAGCGCAGTGCCTGGGTGTGGGGATCTGTAGTACCCTCCTTTATGAAGCCTGGCATTACCAGGAGCCTGGCATTACCAGGAGCTTGGCATTACAAGGAGGTTGGCAGTACAAGGAGCCTGGCATTACGGCAGCACACCCGGGGAGAAGATAAAAGCATTTGCTCTTCTAAAAGGTGCCACAACAGCTCTGGCTGCTGCTGAGTGCAAGACAAGGTCAGGGAGAACTGACGGAAATGCTGGAGGGGCGGCCAGGGGTCACTCCTAGCCCCAGAGCACGCTCTCCCCGGCTCCTCCTCGTATCCCGCCAGGCAGGACACAGCTTGCCTGGCATCAGGAGACAGGGAGAGGGGCTGGTTTCCTCCTGGTACTTGCCCTGTGGGGGCTGAGCCACCCGGTGAGAGGGACAAATTAACTGTTGTGCTAAGATTCCTGCGGCTCGGGCAGGACTCCGCTCTTCTCGGGCATTTCAGACTCATTTCTCTCCCCTTTGATGTTGCGGTTCTGGGTCCCTGCAGGCTCCTCACATCTAATTGCAAAAAAATCTTTGTTGAACTCGGTCCCATTTGGGAAATGCTGGCTCTGGTAATTGACACAGTTTGACAGATGAAGGGGACGCTTAGGCTTATCAGACACCAGGGACCCCCCAACTCCCTGGAGAGACAGGAAACAGGAAGGCAGGAGGGGCATCTGTGAGCCCCTGGCCTTGAGCCAAAGGGGAACAGCAGGCAGAGGCCGTCTGAGCAGCACGGAGCTGAGGGGTCAGCAGGAGGAGAGGCAGCAGGAAAACCAGGACCCCGAGGGGACAAGCCGGAACTGCAGGGACCGTGACGGGCCAGGAGGGGCCAGGAGCGTGGAGCAGCCCTGGGCGCCCGCTGGCTGTGTGTGTGTTTCGGCTCCTCGTTCACTCTGTCCCTCTGTCAGTGCCAGGCACTCAATTACCAATGGCCCTCCAGCGACCCGGGAGTCCCCGCCTCCAGGGGCTCAGGGGCTGGAGACGCAGGGACAGGTGGATTTATGCTTTTCACAGAGAAGGGGAGGGAATGGCCTGGCTCCCGGCAGCCTGTGGTGACAAAGAACACGGGTGCGGGCGTCAGGAGGGTCCCGGTGTGGCCCTGGCCCTGGCAGGGGGCCCCGGCTCACTCTCCGCGCCTGCGAAACGGAGAGAAATTCCGCCTGGCGGTTACATGCGTGAACGGCTGCTCAGGGCCCAGCTCAGGGCGTGGAGCCTGGTGTCTACTCGAGAGGCACTTGTCTCCAAACCTCTCTCTCTGGGTCCCTGGGACTGAATGTTGCCAAAGGAAGGAGGGAACCGCGACGGCGAAGGAAGGGAAGGCCCGCCCGGGCCTCGGAGGTACTCACTTGGCTCGCAGGGCGAGCTGCCGGTCATTGGGGCAGACCCACTGCTGGCTGCCACTGCCGAAGATGGTGTCAGCCATGCTCGGAGCCCCCAGCCAGCGTGGGCGTCACATCTGGGGGAGAAGAGGACAAAGAGAGAGGGCGTCACTGGCAGGGGTGCAGGTGGCAGGCAGGTCCCGCAGGCTCCGCACACGGGCACTGCCAACCTCTCCCCGTAGTTGCCCCTGACGCCTGGAGGCTCACCATCAGAATCACTCCTCCAGCCAAACTCTGTTCCCTCCAAACTCCTCTTTCAAAGGCTGGCAAACCCCTAGGGTGAGGGGGAGGAGGCTGCGCCCTCCAAGTACAGCGCCTGCCGCCTGCTGTGCTTAGCACATCACCTCGCAGGAGGGGCTTGGGCAGGGGTGAGGGGATATGGCTAGACAGCCCCTCTTGGGGGAGGGGTCCGGAGCAGTGGCCCAGGCACATGGGTGGCTGAGCCAGCTGCCTTCCTCAGCTCTGCTAACAAGGCCTCACAGACGCTGCTCCCCACGAGATTCGGCACAGCCAGCGATCACGGTGCCAGAGCAGGAAGGAGGCAGAGAGAGGCGGCTGCAGCCAGGCTGCCACCCTGCACAGCTGCAGGGGACACGGCGTAGAGGGCGCCCTTGAAATCTGCAGAGACGTGACGCCGCTCCAGAACTCCCTGGCGGCTTACCTTCTGCAGCCTGGCCTACCGGCTCTCTCTTTGCCACCCAGGGTATGTGTTGGAGGGGAAAGGAGCACAGAAGAGAGAGCCGGTTTTGAGGGAAGGAACCCCAGGCAAAGATCAGGGCTGTGCTGAGCTGCCCACACTCCCCTGGTCCAATCCCACCCAGCCCAGTGGCTCTCAAACACAGGACTTCTTTCTCTTTTTAAACACTGATGTGATGGGAGAGAGATCCTGCATGTGCCTCAACCAGGGCCAGGGACCAAGCCTGCAACCGAGGTACGTGCCCCTTGACCGGGATTGAACCCGGGACCCTTCAGTCCGCAGGCCCAGGCTCTGTCCACTGAGCCAAACTGGCCAGGGTCACAGGACTTCTTTCTTTACACTCTGAAAAATCACTGAGGTTGGAAATTAGTCTTGGCAGTTGCTCAAATGTTAAACCATCTGACCCAGAAACTACTTCTAGGGATAGGCCCAGGAGAACTGAAAAATACACCCACACAAAACCTTGTGCGTGAATGTTCACGGCAGCATTATGCATAATAGCCAAAGAGTGGCAACAATTCAAAGGTCCATCAATTGATAAATAACAAAGTGTGGCTTATCATACAATGGAATACTATTTGGCCATAACATGGATAAACCTTGAAAACATTAATCTAAGTCAAAGAAGCCAGACACAAAGACTACTACATATTGTATGGTTCTGTTTACATGAAATATTCAGAACACGCAAATCTAGAGACAAAGGGTAGATTAGTAGTTGTCAGGGCTGGGGGGAGGGGGGG